AAAGAAAAAGAAAAAGAATCCCTTGTTATCAATATTGGCACAATATGCTTTCCAGGCAGTAATTTCAGCTGTTACAGGTGATATCAATGGGTTGGTTAATTCTGCAATTGTTGGCGCAATTAATATTAATTCAAACTAAACATAAAATATTGATGGGCCTTCAATAATGTATCCAAGCTTATTAGTTAGAAAGTAATATATATATATATATAGATGTTAAGGTGTGGTTTATAGGGTATGAATTGAGTAATTGGTGAATATGGATATGTCTGGGGATCTTTTTGAGGCCTAGGTATGTTGGCCTTGGAGTCTGAGTGAGATCTTTTGGTTATCTGTTTTAGTTGTATTTTCCATTGTTATTTTTGTTTCTGCATTTCGTTTTGCTGTTGAATTCAATAATACATATTCTAGAGTCTTTGGGTATTTGTCCTTGTTTATTGTTAATCTGTAACAGAGATTGTCTCCGGTGAACTTTGGATTAATAGAGATATGTTGCTGTTATTCATTGTTATTTTATTGGGTTCCATTATTTTGATGGGCCTTCAATAAAATATTCAAATCCATTAGTTAGGAAGTAGTATATATAAATGCTTATGGTGTGATTTACGGGGTATGAATTTAGTAATGTGGTTAGGTTGATCATTTAGGACTTGTCCTTTAAATCTGCTCATATGAAGATCAAATTTTGTAACTAGTTAACTACAAAGAAACTAATACAGATCATCAAAGTAATTGATTAATTAATTAATGGGTCTTTGGTTGTAGGTCCCACGCTTAATCTTTGTTATCTCTTCACAAGAAAGAAATTAACAATATGACAAGATAGTAGGTGTAGCAAATTTTTTCATAGGAAATGAAAAACCATATATTCAAAAGGGTGAGAAAGCCACAAGTCCTTGCACAAATCAGCGAGCAACTACAAAAGCGAATCTCTCACCAAATAGAGTTGTATTTGCGAGTGATTTTCTGTTTAACGTAGCAAAGAAGAATGTTAGAGGAAACACACTTTCAAATTTCAAGAGATTGTAAGACTGTAACAAAAGAGGATGCTAACAAAAGTTATTTAATATATAAAAAGAATAATAATGCATCAATGCTAGTGATATTGATGTGCAGATTATTAATACAATTCCTTTTGTTGTCTCTTGCCTTGTTTTTCCGTATGATGATCGAGGTCAACGCTTGTGCTAGACTTGAGACATCTACTGACCAGTTCTTCCATAGGTTGTATAACAACCCGCATAGGCAAGGCAAGCAATAATAAGTCAAGAGTACAAGAATCAAGTGAATATGGGAATGTACTATAGCACTACAGCAGTTATGCAAAAATCCACACTATAAAGTGATTTAATTGATATTTATGACAAGTAAATCATATAATTAATATGATAATATGAAAAAGGATTATTTTGGTAATAAGAATGGTAAAATTAATATAAACTTATGATTTAGAGCATTCTGACACCTTTCGAGAAAAAAAAAATATGAAAAGTAAAATTCTGCCGGGTAAAGTGTTGCTATGAAAATTACCGAAAAAAACTCTGAAAGGAGGAAATTATGTAAATTATGGCATAATTATTAAATTATGTTTTTGGGGTTAAGTTATTATTGGTTTAAGTTAGAAATGTTATGTAGAATAGAGTGGAAGTTAAAGTCAACTCAAATGCTCACTCACTTAAGTGACATGGCAAGGAGAGAGAAGGCATAACATCAAAATTCATCTTCTCCTTTCTTCCTCCAATAGAAACCGTGACCATCCCCTCCTCTCTAGGGTTTGGGTTTGTTTCATTCCTTCTCCATTTCCATCTATTTCCATTCATCAAATCAAGAAACACTTAACATGGAATTTGTTCCTTTGCCTCTAAGGATCAAAACCCACCCACCATTTCTAGTTGGGAAGTATTGGAGTGAGAGATCTTTCCTCTTATGTAGCTCGAGTTACTGTTCACAAAGTGAAGAAGTTTTGATGATTTTGAATGATTTGAAGCTTGAAACTTGAAGCATTGGTTATATTGAAGCCATTCAAGGTCTATATCTAGAGACTCTGTGATTGTGGATCAAAGATTGGAAGGGGAGTTTTAGCTTTCTTGCTAAATAAGTAAGCATTTGGTAAAGCTTCTATAAGGTAAGCTCTTTCTTGCTAAATAAGTAAGCATTTGGTAAAGCTTCTATAAGGTAAGCTCTATGTTTAAGGAGTCTTTTTATGCTTGAGTGCTCCATCATAGTTAGTGAACTATGGTTGGATTGTATGATTGTTTTGATGCTTTGTATAGATGCATTCATATAGAGTTATTCGATAACATGATATGACTTGTTCTGATATGATTTCTGTATTGATTGCATGGTACACGGATGTCTTCTTGGGGTTCCCCTGAGATTGACGGTGTACGCCTCTGATATGTTCTGGTTCCGCTTGGGGTCCTCCCTTGGGAACACGTGCGTTGATTTTCGCTTGGGGTCCTCCCTTGGGAATGACTGTGTACGTCTCTGATAAGATATGTATAAGTGCTTTGTTCTGTTATGATATCTGTTATATGTTGCATTGGTATACTCTGTATCTGACTTTCATGCAGGAGTGGAACCAGGGTATGGAGAATTCTCTATAAACCTGGAGCTTATTGAGATTTGTTATCTCACCCCGTTTGGGGACATCATTTCAAGTGTACAGATTGCAGGTGAGCCTTCACAGGGCAAGGATATGACCCGTGGCTAGAGATGTCGTAATGGAGATGTGTATTCTGGATGATTCATCATCACTGTGTAGAGACATGATCTTTGGGTAGCATTATGCCGCCATTATTCTGGAGGACATGTATTATTGCTTATTCGTGTTTTATTCAAGTTGGGATCATGATGTCGGATCCATTATACTATATATGTTTTGTGCATGTTTCCTATTTTGATGCACGTACATTGGTGTACTCAGGCATGTTATATGATAATGTAGTATTCAAATATGTGCATGTGTTGAGTCATGTATGTTGTTAGACTTTATTGCACAGAGCCAATTATTCATGCGCCCATGGATGGGCATTAGGTCCGATGTTGGACAAGATATGATTATATGATATGTTTAAGATGATATCAGGTATGGATTATGAGAGTGGGATTTAATCCCCATTTGTTCGGTTTACAGTCGTTACGCTGTCCGATTTTAGACTCTGTTTGGATTGATACTGGTTGTCATATTCGGATGGTCAAGGGCCATTGTGTATGGTCACTAATGAAAGATGAATGTTTAGAAAAGGAACTATGATGGATAAGAAAGAAAGGATATAATGCTATATATTATGCGACAAGAAATAAAGAAAAGAAGGAAAAAAGTTAGCTCGTATTTTTGTAAGCTAATGCAAGATTATAAGTTAAGTCTTCCGCTTATGCATGTTTTAGTACCATAGGATGTTAATTGAACCAGCTCAAGACGGGGATGTTACAAGTTGACTGAGATCAACGCAAATATAAATAAATTTTAAAATCTCTTTTACTTAGAATCTTTATATCAACGAGTAGAACTATTTTTTAAAGCAAATTTTGGCTTGTTTTCTTAGAGAATTATTGTAGTGGTTTATCAACATTTTCACCAATTCATCCTTATATATTAAATTTATAATATGCCCTCTTTACAGTAATTTAATTTTTTGAAGATATTATGCTTCTAAGAATGTAAAAAAGTATTTTAATTATTTTAATTTTTTAAAATTCTTTTTAAATTAATTATGAATTTTTTATTATTTCCTTTAAAGACTTGAATCTCTGTTACATGTTGGAGTTTTCTGCAAGTTTGAATTTCGGGTCCTATTGAGCTTATAAACCTCTAAGGCCCGGATGATAACCTTTCGGCCTTGGGCTCTGGGCCCGAATCCAGCTCATGTTACTGTGGTGCCAAAAGTTATTACTTATTAGTTTTCAATAAGTTGATGTGTTTCTTATTTGAATTTTCTAATTTGATCTTAGTTATGGCTGAATCGGAAGCTTGAATTTCCACACGCTTTATTTCTTCAACATTGAAGGGCTGAAGCACGAGAAAGAAAAAGAAACAAAGCTAATTGAACAACTTGGCGGGGCATAGGGACCCTTGATTACCTTCCAAGAGAAGGTGACTAGCCACTACTTTTCTTTATGTCTATGCATGTCATTAACCAGACCATATATGTATTTTTGACAGCAAGACATTTTAAATGATGCTGTGAATATTTTAACAACCTAGGTGGATCTAAAGGATAAATAAACTTTAGCTTGGTATTATTTGGCTCAAGGATGAAAGTGTTGTAGAAGGATCTTAACTTATTGTGGTATAACCAATTAAGGTTTTTAACTTTTAAACTTACTAATTAAGGTCTTCAACTTTATTTTGATTACCAATTACCTTAACTTCAACAACAACAAAATTATTATTTGTAAATCGAAAAAATAGGCCATATTTACCACTTGTTTTGTTCATTAATAAAAATATATTTAAATAAAATTGAAGTCTGTAATTGGTATCAATAAAAGATCCATCCCTTGGTTTATAAAATGGTTATGTCCGCAAAGATTACTTCACTCTGGATGAAGTGTGCATTGTATTTTAATATATTTTTCCCAAAGTGATGTAAAATAAGTTTAGAAAAGTAGAAAGATGTGATTATACTATTTCAAGGAAAACATATAATAATATATAAGAAAAAAAAATGTGCCAACTTAGTCATAGAACAGTTTGTGTTAACTTAAATGTTATATTAGCTACAGCCTACAACTACTTAGAAACTAAGTTCCACTTTTCTAATAACCTAGGGTTCTATATTCATATGTACAATAGTTTTACCTCATGCACCTCCTAGTATTGATTAGACCTTGAGCCAGACCAGAAAAAGTGTTTTGAGAGTTTGAGCACTCTATATCAGCTGTTACATTTTATCTTTGTCACCTTGAACGCTTTGATAACAAGTTATTCTCCCCCCAAAGTAAGACCCAATTCAACTCACGGTACAATTTTCTCTCTATTGACATTTTATTAAGCTTTAAATAGTTTGAATAATAGCTTGAATTACAGAAGAAACCAACCCAGTGATATTACCTGTAACAGCTGAAATTACTGCCTCGAAAGCAAATTTTCCCAATATTGATAACAAGCGATTCTTTTTATTATTCATATCAGAGCCAGCAACAACAGTACCACCAGGGGGCACACCATCATCATCCTCATCCTTTATCATCTTCATAATAATTGGATCAAAGACACTCGAAAGAACACTCCTTATCTTGTCAAAATCTTCTTGTTCTGCAACCACATTGACTTCAAGCCATCCTAAGGCCATATCAATTGCACTGTTGATCCTTTTCTTGTCTTGTTGGGAAAGCTTCAAACTAATCTCCTTATTATTTATAGCATTCCTCATGTTGTATGCATACTTCTCCAATGCATTCCTTGCTTTTACCTTCTTCAGGTACTCCTCATCTCCAGCCTTGTACTTCTCAGCTTCTCTGATCATCCTCTTAATTTCTTCCATTGAAAGCCTTCCCTTGTCATTTATTATCACAACCTTCTTGTTTATTCCATTTAATTTTTCCGTGGCAGAGACGTGTAGGATACCATCATCATCAATTTGAAAGCTGACATTGATTTGAGGAACACCCCGAGGAGCTGGAGGTATTTCCAGCTCAAATTCACCTAGCAAGTTGTTGCCACTAGTTATTTGCCTCTCGCCCTCGTAAACATGAATCAATATAATGATTTGGTTATCAAAATGTGTGGTGAATACATGTTCCATCTTTGTAGGAAAGATAGTATTCCTAGGTATCATTACTTTCATGATACCTCCATTTATTTTCACCCCAAGGGACAGAGGAGTGACTTCACACACATGATTAACCTTCTCATTGAACTCACTACTACTCAATCTAAAAGCCTGGACAGCAGCACCATAAGCAACAGCCTCATCAGCATTGATGCTCATGCATAGATCCTTTCCATCAAAGAAGTCCCTCAATAGCTGCTGCACTTTTGGAATCCTTGTAGAGCCACCTACAAGGACAACATCATCAACCCTGCTCTTTTCCATCTTAGAATCTTTCAGACACTTCTCCACATGCTCCATACACTTGTCAAACTGGTCCCTGTTGAGTTCCTCAAACTTTGCACGAGTGATTGATGAGTAGAAATCAATACCCTGATATAAACAATCTAATTCAATAGTGGTCTCCGTAGTGGAAGAGAGTGTCCTCTTTGCTTTCTCACAAGCAGTCCTCAACCTCCTAAGGGCTCTTGGGTTTCCAGTAATGTCCATTTGGTTCTTTCTCTCGAACTCATTCACACAATAGTTCATCATTCTCTTGTCAAAGTCCTCTCCACCAAGGTGAGTGTCTCCATCAATGGCCCTAACTTGGATATCATCATTCTTAATTGTGAGAAGAGACACATCCAGAGTACCACCACCAAGATCGAAGATGAAAACATTTTTACTTCCCAGACTATAATCTTTAGTGTGAAGCTGGCCATATGCAATTGCTGCAGCAGTAGGCTCATTAATTATTCGAATAACATTGAGGCCAGCAATAGCACCAGCATCTCTGGTAGCTTGACGTTGAAAGTTATCAAAGTAAGCAGGCACAGTCACAACAACATCTGTCACCATTGATCCAAGAAAAGCCTCTGCAATCTCACGCATCTTTGTCAAGACCATGGATGAAATTTCCTCAGCAGAAAAATGTTTTTCCTCACCATTGTAATTAACAACAATCATGGGCCTGTCATTAACACCTGCAATAACTTTGAATGGCCATAACTTCATATCACTCTGAACCGTGGGGTCACTAAATCTCTTTCCAATTAACCGCTTTGCATCTGCAAAAATATAACAAGTCCCGTTTATCAGTTGTAGTACAATGAACAGCTATGTGCACAATATTTGAAAAAACAAGAAGAACCAAAGTAAATGACAATCGTGTTTTTTTTCTGAAATAGCACAAACTTATATATATGTCATATATATATAGTTTCCAGGTGCATGCAATAATGAAGCAGAAAGACTTTGAGCATAAGAAAAATGGGTTTAGAAATTTGACCAAAGACAGTGTTGACAGGGTTGGTAGCAGCCTGGTTCTGAGCAGCTTCACCAATCATCTTTTGGGTGGGAGTGAAGGCAACGCAAGATGGTGTTATTCGGTTGCCTTGATCGTTGACGATGATCTCCACTCGATCGTGGCGCCACACAGCAACGCATGAGTAGGTTGTGCCTAGATCGATTCCTATTGCCACTCTCTCACCATTTGTTGTTGCCATTTCTCTCTTGCAAGTTTAGAGAAGGGGAAGTTGTGTTGAATGAGAACAAAGCGTACGATATTAAGAGACACATAAAGATGCATATATAATAATCCTTGGTGTTCGGCTCGTGACCCTTTATGTTTTGTTTTGTTAATTTTCATGTATGTTTGTTTCTCAGAAGTTTCTACACATGGACAGAAAACAACTTGTCAGGGTTTAACCAAAAAAGATCAACAACTTGTTCAATTAGCTTAGTTTCTTTGTCTCTTTCGTGATTCAGCCCTCCAATGTTGAATAACTAGTCCGTTTGTAAACTTGTATAGAGTGTACAAACTTGGCAGTTTCCTGAGAAACAAACACGAAAATAAACAAAGCCCTCCTCACTCCATTTCAAGTCGACATAACAGGAAAATAAAGAGTACGAGAATTCCGGAATATGCAAGGATACTTCTTCCAGTAAATTTGACTAATATTCAATCTTTCTTATATTTATGTCGTTTTGTATGACAGGAATAAATTTTCTATATATACAAATGAGTGGTGGGTTCCATTTCTTTTTGTCTCTCTCTCATGTTATGGGTTCCACTTCTAATTTTATTTCTACAATATGAACTAACAATTTTCCTACAATATAAGAAAAATATTTTTCATATAATATTTCGACTTCATAAATACAGATTAATTGATGGTCTATTTATAATAGCAGGCATAGACCAAGAGTAATTTATTTATGGACTTCTCTTTTATTATATAACATGAGATAACATCTTTCATACCGACACAACAAGTGATGAGATCCACCACTTGTTAAAAGCAAAAAACAAAAAACAAAAAAATAACACGGATTTTGATGTATCACACAATATGAGAAAATTATTTCTTATTACATAAGAAAATGATTTCTCTTTATTTATTAGCGTAAATATCTTTTCTACACACTTATAATATAAGGTAAAATTTTAAGCTGTGAGCTTAGAGTTATTTAATGAAGTTAACAATAAGAAAGAGTGTATTGCTACCGTTCCTCTTGAATTTTTTACACCTTATTAAATTTATGTTTAAATACATTATGAATGGATTTTCTTATTAGTATAAAACAAAATGTTCATTTCCTATTTTTTATTACGGGCACCGCCACCTCATAGTTTGTTATAAATTACGGGATTTAATTTAATTTCTTAGGGAAAAAAATTTATTTCTAATTCCTTTGAAATTTAAAATAAACTCAATTAGTTGAAGTAGTGATTTCTTTGAAATTTAAAGAAGACCCATATTAATCTCTTAAAAGAACTAATATGAGTTTATTTTGAATTTAAAAAGAACTAGAAATTGACTTTTTTTTTCGTCTAAGCTATGACCCAAGAAAACAACCTACATCCTAAGTAAATAACCATCCTATTTTTTCTGATATAGTACAAAGTTATGTTTCATTTTTGATGTAAATAACAGTACAAGGAGAACAATACCTAACAAGTGATTGAATTACAATATTTGTATATGAGTCAGGATCATTTTATATCAATGTAAAATATATTCTCAATCTTGATCGTTGATCTTATTTATATCTATCGGTCATGATTTATTATATACTTGGTGATAGTTAGACACAAACAAATTAATAATCAAAATTTAATATAAGACTTTTTATTCTTATACCAGTGTAAGCTTACTCTCGCCGTATATATATATATATATATATATATATATATATATATATATATATATATATATATATATATATATATATATAGGGGAGGGTTCTTTTGACTCCAGAGTAAGACTTTTAAGTCTTATTCCAAATCTCAGTCGTTGATGGACGGAAATCAACGGTTGTCATTAATAGTATAATTAATAATTAATTAATTAATATAACTTCCTAAATTATAACCGTTGGATGGACGGAAATCAACGGTTAGGATGGAGAGTAACTTCCTAAATTATAAGTCTTACTCTTGAGTCAAATGATCTCTCTCCATATATATATATATATATATATATATATAGTTTCCAGATGCATGCAATAATGAAGCAGAAAGACTTTGAGCATAAGAAAAATGGGTTTAGAAATTTGACCAAAGACAGTGTTGACAGGGTTGGTAGCAGCCTGGTTCTGAGCAGCTTCACCAATCATCTTTTGGGTGTGAGTGAAGGCAACGCAAGATGGTGTTATTCGGTTGCCTTGATCGTTGACGATTATCTCCACTTTATCGTGGCGCCACACAGCAACGCATGAGTAGGTTGTGCCTAGATCGATTCCTATTGCCACTCTCTCACCATTTGTTGCCATTTCTCTCTTGCAAGTTTAGAGAAGGGGAAGCTGTTTTGAATGAGAACAAAGCGAGTGACATTAAGAGACACGTAAAGATGCGCGAGCATATATAATATTTGCAATTGACTTGTTCAAATTAAAGAACATTTCTTCTTTTTTTTTTTTTTTTTTCTTCTTTCTAGAATAAATTTTCATAATTAATTTTGGTACATCACTTTTAAAAATGCAATGTAGGCAATGACACGAGTTATTAAAAAAAAAAAGTATTAAGAGAATATGATTGGTCTAGTAATGAGAGGTTTGAGTAGTTTATATTAGATTGTGTGTTTAATTTCTATCATTGAATCAAAAAGAAAATATTTTTAGATAATTGTAATCTGTTATGGACTCATATAAGATATTCATATTCTAGAAACCAAAAAAAAAGTTACTCTAAAAGAAAACTAAAGAAAGTAAATTCTAAGGATTAGAATTCGTAAATGTCGTGTTAGTATTTGTGACAATCAAGAATTATTTCCTTTACTCTTTTTATTTTACTTTTTCAGTAATTCTTTTTTGTACTTTCTAGAATATGAGTCTCTTATACGAGCTCGTAACGAAATCAATATTTTAAAGGGGGAAGACATTGATAAAGATATAAATTATTGAATCATATGAAATGATATAGTACATATTGCAATTGCAAAATTCCTTTTATGTTAAATTTTTTTTATATAAAATTATAATAAGACCTGCAACATTATAGTGAGCAGTAAAAATGAAGATATTAAGGTATTAATAATGAATATTAAATAAATTGAAATGCTTTGGATATATAATATCATATATTATTCAAACACTCTTATATGTAACCAAGTGCATGTCTGATGACACAAAAAAAGGATGGGTCGGTCGAAACTTATTTAAGATAAAGTTATAAAACAAAATTTGATAGAGTGAAAATAGATTGATGTTGTATTATTTGTCTTAATACAATGAGGAGGAATGTTATAATTAATATCATAAAGGAATAGACACATTATTTCTTATGTTCTAAATGCAATTTTTAATCATATTTTTTCTATATTTACTTATGTATTCAATTTTCTCTCTTATTTAATTTTATATTTTTTTAATTTTTCTTACTTTTTATTTAAATTTATCAACCACTAATTTTGCGCTATTGCAGGGTAGAACAAATTTTGAAAAATAGGCTCTTGTATAATGAGCTTACTTTTACACTAAGTTAACGTGTATTGACTTTAAAATTTTAATTAATTAAGATTACAATAGACTTTAAGTTAAATTAATAATAAATATATCTTATAGCTTTTGTGATTTATCGTCATAATATTTTATTCTCCTCATATTTCTTTTTTTACTTTCTATATTTATTCTATCACTTCAATGACGTTAGTAATGGAAGTCAATGCGGAAATTTTACATCTGTCACTTCAGTGACTTCACTGGACTAAGGTCATTTGCTAGTTCTATAAAAAAAAAAAAAAAAGTTCATTTGCTAGTTGCTTTTTTTTTATTCCACAACTAGCTATATGTTCCCATTATGGAGTCAAGGAGGGAAAGGAACAAAAAGGAATATAAAAAGTAGCTCCTTCAAACACTATTGAATTCCCTATAATAAAAATTATAAACAAATATCTCAACTATTAATTTATTTTGAATAAATATTTTTTTTGTCCCTGACAAAAAATACGGTCCCCACTTTAGTACCTTACAAAAATAAATTAGTCAGTTAGTCCCTCACAAATTCAAAGTGGACCTATTTAGTTGAAATTGTGGTCCCTCACAAATTCAAAAAAGACTCATATTAGTCCCTCAAAAGGACTAAAATGGGTTCACTTTGAATTTGTCAGGGATTAACTGACTAATTTATTTTTATAAGAGACTAAAGTGAGGACCGTATTTTTTGTTAGGGACCCAAAATGGTATTTACTCGTTTATTTTTTTTTATAGTTAATATCTCGACTATTTTAATATAGCGCATAGGACATTTTCGCCGAAACTATCATTAGCTATTCACACCGTCAGCATGACAATTTTTTTTATTTCATGAGCTTGACATTTATTTGACGATGCCTTTTCATGTGGTTGCTGGTTCATTAGTAATTTAGTATTAGCTTACTATTGGGTTTTTCAAACTTGAAAGAAAATTTTTAATTTCAATAGTTTAAGATTTGTTTATTTGGCCAACTGTTTAGAATATTTTACAAATTTGAATTAATATGTTTTAGATAGATATAATATCTTTTTCATTTACTGATCAACATAATTTTTAAAATAAATTATCTGTAGTATATACAATATTCCTTTTCGTAAGAGCTAATAATCATTTAAAGACGTGAACCAAACTAAGTATTTTAAATAATTGATTTCTATATTTTTTTTCATATTTTAATTCTATGAACTAAAACACTTAGGTAAGGATGATAAGTTCAGTATTTAAAATGAAATTAGGCTCCGTTTGGTACAGAGAATAAAGAGGATATGATATGATATATTATCATATTTTATTCTTATCTATTGTTTGGTGAACGAATAGAATATGATAATTTATCTTGTTAGTTCATTTCATCATGTTCGCAATATGATAAGTTATCTTAAAGGGAGACTCGAGATAGGAAATAGATAGAATAAGATAGCATATGTCACATCCCCTCATTCCAAATACAAGCGTATATTTTCCCCCTACGAATATTACTGGGCATGTGATGGTTCGCCCTTGCCACCGACCAGCTACTGTCGCCGCCAT